TGTTATGAGACAATGCAATTAAACCAACATATATATATATAATGATGGGAAAAATTCAAACATTTTTTGGAATCGCCATTTGTTTTGAGACTCTAATAAATGCGCGTGCAAATGTGTTCATAGATGATGTAATACTATCTAATTTTTACATCAGCAACTTTAAAGGTTGTCTAGGTATTGCATCAGCCTTTTTTTTGTTGCTATAAATAGAGGTTATACCAAGATTCAGCTTAGAAACCTATCTGCTACAATGTATAAGTGATGCTAAGGTTGTCTAGGTATTGCATCAGCCTTTTTTTTTGCTATAAATAGAGGTTATACCGAGATTCAGCTTAGAAACCTATCTGCTACAATGTATAGGTGATGCTAAGGTTGTCTAGGTATTGCATCAGCCTTTTTTTTTGCTATAAATAGAGGTTATACCGAGATTCAGCTTAGAAACCTATCTGCTACAATGTATAAGTGATGCTAAGGTTGTCTAGGTATTGCATCAGCCTTTTTTTTTTGCTATAAATAGAGGTTATACCGAGATTCAGCTTAGAAACCTATCCGCTACAATGTATAGGTGATGCTACCAGGGAAGGGTTGCTAGTTAACGCCGTGAAAAAAAACAACACCAGTCATTGTTTCCTTGAAAAGTGGAACTTCAGACAAGACAGCTTGCTAGAAGAAGAAAAATATCACCAGTCTACTGTAAGTCAAGGGTGCATAGGAGTAGTAAGACCAGTTTTGTGGAGTAAGAAAAAAGCTTCCACAGCAGTTGATGATCATATTCTGAAACGCATGAACCTACAGAATCGTCGACAGATCTCAAAAGATCATGGCAAGAAACTTGAGGAGTCGCTTTCACTGCACGCACCGTCATGTCTCACCTATATTCAGATGGTCTCCCGGTAAGATGGCCAAAAAAAAAACTCTTCTCACCGACAAGATGAGGCTCAACTGGGTCAAAGACCAAAGAATGGACTGAAGCAATGAGGAGGAAAATGTTTCTTAGATGAAACAAAGTTCAACCTGCATGGTTCTGATGGGAAGCACTTTTTTTATGTCTATGTGGAAAAAGAGTTTCATCCAACGTGTTTGTATGCAACTGTGAAGCATCCACAAGGTGAAGTGATATGGGTATGTATCTCTGGCCAGGGTGTGGGACACCTGCGTTTTCCAACAATTCGGAGTTACTTCAGTAGAGCTGCCCAGTGCACATTTCAAAATGACTCTGCTCTATGTGAAATAAAGAAGTTTCACTCTGTGTATTGAAAATACATCTTATGTTTTATTTCACTGCTTCAGGTGAAGGACTGTCTTTGATGGGAGAGGATCAAGACACTACGTTGGCCAGGCAACAGCCCAGATCCCAACCCTGTCGAAAACTGGGTAACAAAGTGCAAGAAAAGAAACCGAGAAACACCTTCGAACTGCAGGAAGCCCTAATTCTCATGTGAACTCATTAGCTCACCCCTGCCTACATTCAGTCCCTTGTGCACTCTATGACATAGCGACAGTTATTAATGCCTGAAGAGGTACAACCAAATATTAAAATAACAAACAGACTCTGTTATCACCCTTTGGTGAATTACATTACTGGGATTACCTTCAAATCTAGGTTTTTTTAAATTAGAAAACGTTTTCGTATTTACGAAGTATTTGATGACCACCTTCTATAATACGTTTGCAACAGTTGGTTTGCTAACAAAGATACATATCTGTGTTTGTATGACTGAAATATGAATCAGCTTACACCACACAATGTGCATGACCATTTTACATTAGTTCTGACACTTTCGCAATGCACAATATCGTAAAAAAATCAACGGAACCAAGAAAAAATTTTCCACCACTGCATACTACTTTGTTATGTGGCAATGCAAGTGAAAACAAAATATAAATTAAACTGTTATGAGATAATGCAAGTATAAATATATGGTAAATTAGACTGTTGTGAAATAATACAGGGAAACTAGGAAATAAATTAGACTTTTATGAGACAAGTAAGACCAACATATAAAATAAACTGTGGTGAGACAATAAAAGTATACCAATATATAAATTAGACTTTTATGAGACAAGTAAGACCAACATATAAAATAAACTGTGGTGAGACAATAAAAATATACCAATATATAAATCAGACTTTCATGAGACAAGTAAGACCAACATACAAAATAAACTGTGGTGAGAAAATAAAAGTATACCAATATGTAAGTTAGACTTTTATGAGAGAATACAATTTAATCTAGATACAACTTGGACTGATATAAAACAATTAAGTAAACCAAGAGATGAATTAGACTGTTGTGAAACAATACAAGTAAACCAAGAGATAAATTAGACTGTTGTGAAACAATAAAATTAAACCAAGAGATAAATTAGACTGTTGTGAAACAATACAAGTAAAC